ATTTAGATTTAAAATCTACAAAAAGTAGATTTATAAACCTTTTATTTGTGACTTAAATTATAAATTGATACTCATTAGTCCTTGCATCTCTAAAAATTGTCACATTTTGACATTTTGGTCAAATTGTGACACTTTTTGATTAAGAATTAAATATAATTTAAAATAATTAAATATTATAAAAAATGATATTTAAAAACTACGGAGTACATAGTATATTTTAAAACAAATCTAATTTTACAAAGCTTGTGTTTGTATGGGGTGAAGTTAAATTAGAGGAAAAGAAAAGGCTTGGGGGGATAAATACTCAATGACAGATAGAGTATATTTTTATCGTTTTTTATTTTGTAGAATTTTTTGTACATATTTTGTACAACTTTTTTAACATGATTCAGGATAAATCTTTTTTTCTAAAATTTATGTCAAATTCAAAAAAAAAAAAGGGCAAAATATGCATTTTACATGATTAGTAATGTAATTTGATAGAGAAAGGGTGGTTGAAATTACGAAAAAGGAATAAACGGTTGGAGCGTTGCGGGAGTACTGCATAATGGATTTTTGTGTATTTTCAAATTAGAAAAATAAAAAAAACGAAAGAAAAAGAAGAAGACAGGCTGGACTGACAGGATTGCAGTAATGATTCGCCTTCCGATTCGGCGACCGAACTTGTCGTTTAGCGCGCCAGCTCATCCCTTTCTCCGTTTGTTTGGGGGTTTTCAACAATTTAACTAAAGTCCCGTTTGTTTTCCCGAGAGGGACGGGAATTCTAAAGATTGAAAAGTGAAAGGGCTCAAGTGCAATAAAAGTAATACTGTACGGACGAACTGTATCATTTATTAAAACAAAAACGGAAACAGAAGAGATAAATATCAACTGAATCGCAGAATGCTCTCCAGCCTGTCTTCTTTTTTTATACTCCCTCCGTCCCTAAATATTCACAATATTTGCTTTTTTAGCAGTGTCGGGAACTTTTGTTTATTTCAACATTTTCATTGATTATTTGATAAAATAAAATATTCTTGACACCTCTTGTTTCGAAGAACTTTTCATGTAGTTTTTTTATATGTAAATTTTATTTTTTATTTCTTTACCAATATGTAAATAAAATGAATTGAAAAAACTTGATATTTTATCTCGGAAATACAAATGTGGCAAATAATTTGGGACGGAGGGAGTATATACTCCGTATAAAATTACACTTTACTCCCTCCAACCCATTCCTCATCCGTCCTCATAATTCACGAAACAAATATTTAGTACTGGTTTTGAGATTCACATTGAGATTAGAAAATTACTATAATATTAGTATTACAGGATTAGGATAAGAAGATTAGGATTTGGGATATTTGGATTAGAATTGACATTAAGATTAAAATTAGCAATAGATACAGTGGTTTGAGTGAAACATGTCTTTTTTTTCACATTAGCTTTTAACTCCATTAACACTTGTGAGAAGGTCTAGGATTTAGGTGTGGACCTTGGGTGCACGGAATCACCACTCAATTCATGAAAAAGTCCGGTCTGATTTTGTTACAATACCAAAAGATGATTCTTAGTGGAGATTGAGTATATAAAAGGCGAACTCTGAGCTGCAAGAACATGACATTTGACAGAGTTTAGGTGCGACATGTGGCGGAACTGAATTGTCACTTTTTGACAAGTATTATCTGACCTGACAAATGAGAAGTCAAAAAACTTTGTTCCTAAATAAAATTAAAGAGAAAAAAAAATCTGATTTTCAAAAGAATTGAATATTTAATTCCTTTTTTTTAATTCTTTTATTTTCAGTTATTGTCTCCCTTTTGTTTTATTCATTTTCTAAAATGATAATTACTTTTTCAAACACTTATCAACTCAAATTTATCATTTACGGAGTACAATACTTTTACCCAGATGTTTGAATATCTTTTGGTAAAATAATATAATGATATCAATTATATATTCAAATATACTATATATTAAAAGTTGTATAAATTATGTTATTTCTTCATATTATTATTGAAAATTTATTTCAAAAATATTTTTGTAAGATTTTAATAAATACTCCATTCATCCATTTGAATTATTGAAAATTTGTTTTAACAATGCTTTTGAAATATTTTTAAAGTATCAAATTTGAATTAATTTTATTGAAACTTTTATTAGTGTATGAAAGATTTAAATAAATACTCCGATCCATGCATCCACGGAATTTCCATCTATCACAATATTTGGTTAAATTATTTTTAATTGTTTTAAAATAATTATTCATGTAAAATTAAACAATAAAAAATACACATCTAAAAATGAGAACAAAATATATATGAAACCGGACTGGCATGAGAGTTTTTTTATCAAATAGAATAACCAAAGTACAAAATTAAGATAACCGTGGTTAGATAAACATAGTACGCAGGAGTCAAAAGTTGACCTCACTGGTTACTGTCCCTTTGTCTCTCTCACCCACTCAATGCAATCGTTACTAGTTTCGTCCCTATTAATTAATTGTAGAAGAATGCATTTATGGTGCATTTTGGGTGCATATATGACTACGAACCTTTCTTTTGGTAATGTTTTAGGCGTCCAAAATACTCTTCCAGCAGTGACTAGGAGTACAGCCTTTTCGAGCTTCAAGGAACGAAGAATTGGGTAAATTTCTTGCTTTGATCGAAGACCCTTAAAACAAGGAAGTATGGATTAGTTTGAAACCTCCAACCTTGTTTACCTAGTAGTATGGCTATATTAAACGTTGTAATTTATATTTTTATTACTATGCCAATTTATAAAAAAATTAATTAAAATTACATTTAGGTATCTGTTTCATTTTAGACATATGAGTATGACCTAATCTAACATGCAACAGCTCAAATGTACAAGTATTAACATTCATTCCATGCCTCTTTTTAGACCTAGTTTTTCTCTTGTGCTTTATCCTGAACCTGTATAAGACATGACATTTAGGAACAGTTGCCATAATTTATTTAGTTGAAGGGTCGTGAAACACATATTTATCCGGTAGAAATACAACACTGGCCTTCTGGGTATCAATCACTTTGCTCACTGAAATTAGACTAAATGGGAAGTCACACGTATAAGACATCCATGAAGATAAGATTTAATGACAAAAACACTTTTTCTATTATGTTCACAGTTGTGTGGGTACCATCAGATAATGTTACAGCTATGAGATTTAGGAGAGTATGCACATCACATAGAATATGTTCAAAAGGAGTCATCTGGTCAAAAGCTCTAGTATTTGCAATTCAATCAACAATGTTTCCAATTCTCACACAGCAAATTTCAGCAACATAAGAATTTAGCATAATAGAAGCTATGGAATTGAACAAGATTTACTTGCAAGATGGGCAAAGGCATTTAGAGAAGCACGTTTTGAAGGAGTGGAAGCTTTATTAGACATCATCATAATCATCTCTTGAGCTACATGTTGAATAAACATGGGCTTATTTTGGAAACTGTGGTACTCTCCTTTTTTGCCACCTACATCCTCCAAATGTGTGTCATATTGCAAATCTTGAGGTTGTGTTGTGGTGTGTGCTGCAAATTTGGCTTCTCCATGTGAGTTTAGTCCTTTGTTAGCTTTTGGAGCTTTAGTTAGCATATCGAACCAAATTGAAGCACTGATCCTAGAAGTGGCTAGATTCCTTATAGTATTCACACACCCTTTTATTTCTCATTGGATCTATCCTGTTATATCCATCTTGCTGGTTATCGGCAAGAGTTCCATGATCATTATCTGGCCCCAAATGGTAGCCCATCAAAAATTTGATTAGCATTCATTTTTTTCTCAGGTTCTACCAATTTTTGCTTGGCGTCACATGTGCATCTATTACATTCGCACACAGCAAGACCAGTGGCATTTGTCAACTCATCCTAAAGTTTTTTCAGTTTGGTGAAATACGCACCAACAGAAACATTGTTCTGTTTGATTTCAACAATTTTCGTCTTGATATGATAGATTAAAGTAAGAGGTCTATTGCTTTCACCAAATCTCTCCTCCAACTCGTTCCATAACTCTTCGATGAAGTTGCGTACAAAAAAGCTTCTTCTAGATCAGATTGCATTGAATTTAAGATCCAGGTGAAAACCATGTTGTAGCAGCGTTCCCACTATGCATAATTTGGTGCATTGAAATCTTGTTTAGTGCACTTTCCATTGATGAAACCTATCTTCATCTTGAGAATCAAGGAGATCTTGATCGATCGACTCCATGGAATGAAATTCATTTTCGTCAGCTTCGTTGTTGTGAGAATCATCAGGATGATCCACTATACAGTATTTATAGAGAGAGTGGTTGAGATATAACCAACTCAAACAAACTTGAAAAAAACAGAACCACTATAAGAATAGTAATGTTAGAGTCACAAATAACTTAACATAAACTACATAAATTTACTATTTTAGTATTTAATTTTTTATTTTTAAATTATTTAAAATCATTTTATTCACAAGCAATAAGTTTGTATAATTTGTGTCCAAGTTATTAGTGACTCTAGCATTACTATTATAGCAAATTCTAAGTGAAAAAGAGAATCCAAATTCTTTACAAAACGTAGTTTTAAAATATTAAATTTTTATACTACCTCCGTCTCACTCTCTTTGTCCACTTTTGACTTTTGGAACTGTTCATCTAAGCACTTTGACTCATCAAATTCTCTTAATGTGTAAGCCTAAATATAGTCATGTGTGATCTTATTTGATTTGTCTTAACATATAGATTATTAATATATAATTTCTATAATTTTTTAATATACAAATTACAAGATAAAATGGATTAAAGAAGTGCATTGGATGGTGTGCCAAAAGGTAAGTGGACAAAGAGAGTGGAGCGGAAAGAGTACAATATATTCTATACAAATAAATATATTAATAATCCTCCTATATATAATGGTAAGAGGAGTTTGGGAACAGTGTTCCCGCCCAAAGTCTAGGGTTATTTTTGGAATTTCGGATGTCAGCTTCTTCTGGACGCAACTCTCATTACCACATATTGATGCTTAGCCGCACACCAGACTTATCTTCCCGATCTCGCATTATTTGTGGCAGGGAACGATGGAGAAGTATCGATTTTGCCCAAACGCCTTTCATACTTTGTTGCTTGCCTGCCCTTCAGAGACGTGTCTGCTGCTATCATCCTTGCGGAGTTCGCCGGAAACCTCTTCTAGATCTAGGGTTTCATGTAAGGAAGTTTTCAGAGGGAGGATTATGAACCGTTCATCTCCAGTTTCAGGTATTCATCACCCCTAACTCAAATTTATAAGCTTTAAATAAGATCTCTTCAAATCATCTCTCCATTTCTTGAAACCGAGTATGCATCTCTTTGGGAAATCAGTAATCTCAACTTACTAGCTAGAAGACCCGAAGACATCAGTACTGGGTTCCTTTAACAATAAAAATTGAAGGTTTGAAACATTCTTCAAAGGAGGGGAGGAGAAGCTAAGCCGATGCTTTTGTGTCAGGCGAGGACGGCATCCAAGAATTGCAAGGCGAAGAACATCTCGCATTTCAATTTCCACCCAACCCTAGAAATAAGGAGGAGACAGATTCGGGTAAAACATACGACCATTTTGTTATTTCTATTTTAATTTATTTGTTATAATTTATACATATTGAGAGTAAGATTTTAATTTGTTTTAAAGGTGACTAGATTCTGAACGGATGAGAGGCTTGGGTGGTGCAGTCCCTTGATTCTACATTGTGATCTGAGAATATGCCTCACCTAATAAAAATAGGTGTTCACTTCTATGGATGAACATATATAGTTTACCCTTAATTAGGATATTATACCATTTGTCTATTGCATTATTGCTTTGTAAAATATACAATCATCGAACTGAAAATGAAGCACAGAGCATATGAAAAAGCTTTAGAATTCAGGTTTGTTCTCAATCTTTTTTAATTTATCACAATTTCTTTTCAAATATTATAGCCTTTTTAACATATTTGGTCTCTTATTTTGTGCGAGTATTAAGAATGTTAAGCTTCTTTGGTATGAAGCTATGCAGAATTTTCTTTAGAATCCGGGTGGGGGGGTTTACCGGGTTTGTTTTGGTTTTGGCTGGGAGTTTGGGTTGCTTATTACTCCCTCCATTTCGTATTAACTGTACCTTTCGCGCATAATTGTAACTCGATAAGGTAATAGCTTTCTGTACCGGTTAGCTATACATAGCCACTAGCCACCAAGTATGTCTTTTTTATTGCACACTGTTTTAAAGATTATTATTCAATATTTTAGCACTATTTTTTAAATACAAATCATGATACGTAATGGTTCTTTTTTTATGGTACACTTTCATTACAGGAAGAAGTTAACTAATTGTTTAGTTTTTAGCATTGAAGATTAGTATTCTATAGTTTAGCACTATCTGTTTAACTTTTAGCTTCCAACAAATAATGAACTTGGCACAGTAGCAGCTTGATTTAGCAGAATATTGTCATTAAAGAGTAATACCTTTGCTTTTAACTTTATTGTGTTGGTATTCATATTATTTTATGTGGCTTTTTAGTCTAGAGAATTATTTCGTTATTTATTGTGTTCTGCAATTTGATGGAAGCCTGATGTTCGGAGTATTTGTACCATGTATTTGTGTATTATCTCATCAGCCATTGATAATTATCCATTAATTTGTTAGCTAATTATTTCTCGCATGTGGAGTTCTTAAGAAACTAGCTTCTCCAATCTTATCTTACTATACACAAAGCAAAAATAAGCAGGAGCAATGTTCCCGCCCAATTCAGGGTTAATTCTGTCAAAACACATTTAAACTACTGGGACAGGGGACTGGAAATGTCATCCATTATTTATTCTTATATCTGTAACTTGAATGGGTTGCTTCTTTATTTCATTACAGGTATCATACAGGTCAATGGGTTTGATATTGGAAATATTCAGCTGGATAGTTTGAGGAGGCATGTTGGTCTGGTCTCTCAAGATATTGTAAGTTACTCCGTACCACCTATTATAATTTATAGGTGTTTTTGGATTCTAATGTTACTGCTTATTTGGATACACTTCTGGAAAGGGTGAAAATCACTTCCATAAGAGCAAAAATGCTTTACCATGTGAGAAAGATGTTTTCCAAATGTGCTTTTTGATAAAGCTTTGAAAACAAATATGAAGCTGCTTTGACAAACATAGTACTTTTTTAGTAAGCATGTTTTAGTTAAACTTCCTTCATTGAGGTTCCATTTGGCAGCTCCTATCAGCTTTTTTTGCTAATCAGCACAGTAAGCCATTTTTTACTTATTTGGCTGAAATCTAACTATATACAATGGTAAGATGGAAATGTGAACAGTATTCCCGCCTATTTTTTGGCTACAGTGTCCGCAGGGTAATTTGGGAAATTCCAAATACAAGCTTCCTCTGTACGCCATTCATTTTATTCTCTTCACCTTAAGACATGACCTAGGCCGACCTTATCCTTACATACAATCGTATTGATCCGGCAACGAGGAGAAAGAGGGTTTTAGCACAGAGATGACAGGACAAGGATAGAGGGGTTTCACGCCATCGTCTCAGGTACGCTTCATCTCTCTCTTTAGCTGCACAAAAATGACGAGTATCTCTAAGCAGGCGACTAGAGCACCACGAGTAAAATCTTGATTCCACCACCGCTGGTAAAGTGGGCGACTAAAGCTAAGCCGCCGCTGCGGGAAAGAGGGCAGCCGCTGTAGATATGCATAGCTAGCACCCGAGTCATAGTGTATCGGCTATCTTTTTGGATGCAAACTCTCCCAGCTATTATCGTTGCAGGCCGCAAACCTTTTCTGGATCTAGGGTTTCATCATTTGAAGATTTGATTTTTTGACCTATCTTATGTCCTCGGCAGTTTAAGGTATTTATCAATTTGTGTCTTATAGAAGAAATTTCTATAATGTTTCTTAATTGTTTTAGAATTTGATTCAGGTTAATAAATTGTGACAAATTAAAAAACAAAGTTCAGTTTTGTTCAATTTAGGATTGTTGTTCTTTTCCGTTCATCACTTGAGATACTTCAGGTTTGTATTCAACTCTGTTTTGAATATTTTGGTTGAATTTTTTGATGGATTGTGAGCTATTAGCGATGCTCTTTCAGAATCTGGTGTTGGATTTTCAATCCAATCAAGATTTCTTGGAAGTCAACCCAGTTTTGTTAATATTTGTATTTTTAACAATAACCCATCTCAATATCTTCTTTTGTTGATTTTAAGTTATTGGGTGCCACCCGAGGATGGAAGGTGTAAATGGGGAAAACATAATGTTCAGAGTTGACGACTGTGAAAAGGATGACAGTTTTAGTGTGACATGGAATGAGGCAAAATCAGAGGTTTCCTATTCTTGTCTCCTATTTGAATACAAAGGGTTCTTTTGCAGACATGCAATGGTTGTTCTTCAAATGTGTGGTCTATCAAGGATACCATTGCAATATATATTGAAGAGGTGGACTAAAAATGCCAAAAATAGACACTTGACACTTGAAGGAAGTGAAAGCGCTCAAACAAGGGTGCAAATGTACAACAATCTGTGTAAACGGGCCATTAAATTGGGTGAAGTAGGTTCTTTATCTGAAGAGAGTTACAATAAAAAAGAGTTTATGATTGATTCTTTATCGCACATACATTATTGAAAAATAATAAGCACCCAACTTTCCTTCGTAGCCTATTTTGAAAAATCATTTGCTGGTGGCCCGGTCGCCCCTATTTCCATTTTTACCCGCAACAGGGGAGGTAATTGCTCAGATTATTACTAGGTTTATGTTTGATTTTGATTAAATAAAAAGCTTTGTGTTTGATTTCATATAGTGGTAGATTAAGGGCCTGTTTGTTAAGTTTAAGATAAATGATAGTAATATATGGACTCTATAATATGAAAAAAAGATATGGGTCTTGAAAAAAGGATTGAAAGTGTTGGGAGGGAACGTAAGAGTAATTGAAATCAAGTTTGACTTTTTGTTGTTTGGTGAGAAGCTATTGAACCTAGCTAGAAAACTTGGAAATGAAAAAATTGAATCACCCATTTTTGGCAATAGAAGAAATGAAATCTTTGTTCTAAAGGAGAAGAGAAGAAGATAAAATAATTGAGAACGTACAAGTAGTGTGTTCAGGTATTGAACCGAGCCAAGTGAGCCAAGTGGGCTGACTGACGTGGTTGCTAGCTTGGACATTTTCAGGTTAAATCATGAGTGCATTTCTCCATAAAATTAAACTAGTGTCAAATCTCTCTCATTGCTTAATGTACTTTATATCAAATCCATTTAATTTATACTTTTCCTATTTTCAAGCATTTAATGGATGGATTAATAACTTCATTTTCCAAACTTTATGTCAAATCAAAATAAACAAATGAGTACTGTATTAATATGGAACCGCGCGCGTAGTTATGTCGGTGCGTGGTTTGATGCGAACTTTATGTCAAATCAAGATAAATAAATAAGTAGTGTACTGATATAAAATTGCGTGCGTAGTAATATAATATTGGTACGTGGCTCGATACAAATTTTATGTCAAATCAAAATAAATAAATGAGTAATGTATTGCTATAGAACTTCGTGTCTTTATTATTTGATTATATGATATTATTGTAATTTAATTTTATCATTTTCTTTCATCAATGCTTTTACTAATTATATAGTTTATAATTAAGCCGTGCAACGCACGGGTACGAGTCTAGTTAAAGTGTAAACAAAAGGAACGAAAAAAATTAAATAGAAAAATATTTTGGTACGGGTATACTGTGGAACGACCAACGCGGGGGCAACCGTGAGTCCGTGACAAAAAGGTGAGTTAGTTGGATTGGCTCAGATTTTCAGAATTTGGTCTATTTTCTTTTTGAATTTTTTTCTACGTGTTCACACCAATTACCTACCGGAGTACAGAGTTGATTGATCATAAAAGTCAAATGATGCGGTTAGCTTGAGTTAGTTACTCTTTTTTTTTTAATTCCCCCTATATCTTTAAATGTTTATCACATTTCAAAAACGAGGTAAAATATTAAAATTTTTTAATTCATTTTATTTAAATATTGATATATAAATAAAAAATAAAATTTATATATTTAAAAACAAACTGAAATTTTTTTTGAAATAAAAGATTTCAAAAATACTTTATCTTATCAAATACAAGTAATCAATAAAAATGTATAAATAAACTAAAATCCCGTGATAGTTAAAAAATAAAATGTGTTAAATATTTTAGGATGAGGGAAGTATATTAATAAGTCAATTGCAATCTAGTAACTGTTATAAATTTTTAATTCATTTAAGCATGTAGAGTTAGGGCCTGTTTGGGAATAGCGTTAGAGATTAGCGTTAGCGTTTTAGATAAAATTTTAACGGTGCAGATTACTTTGAAAACGCTAACGCTAAACGCTTCCCGTAGATAGCCTTTTCAAAACGCTAACGTTAATCGCCAAAGTTATTCTCAAACAGGCCCTTAGTACTTTCACGGAAGAACGAAACACATGATTCTCACTTGAGAGCGTCATAGTGGTGTCATTAGATGATAAAGTCATTGACTACATACTCTCACTTTTTTATCATGTTCAAAATACTCAATAAAATTTATAATTATTTATTTTTTTAAAAAATATGGTGGGTCAATTGATTTACTAAACTAATAAAACTATTATCACATTTTTTGTTTCTTAATACTTTTCTAAAAGTACGTGAAGACTTTTATGAGACCGTGATAGTATTACGAAGTAACTATTAAGAAAGAGTAGTGAAAAAATGTTTCTTTGATTATTTATTTGATAAAATAAAAATATTCATTTCGTTATTTATTTAATACTACCTCCATCTCAAAAAAAATTATATGTTTTGACTAAAGTTGAAATTAAGGGAGGGATAATTTTGTGTTGACTTTCCAAAAATGCCCTTGATGTGATGGATAAAAGTAGGATGTGATGTAGTGTAGATTATTAGGAAAAATGTATGATGTGATAGGTAGGGTTTGAAAAAGTAAGAAGTAAAAGTGGTTTTTTAATTTAGTTTGTGTTTAATTTAAACAAGGCCCCTTTTGGCATCAGCGTCAGAGATTAGCGTTAGCGTTTTGAAAAAGCTATCCGACGGTAGCCTTTAGCGTTAGCGTTTTCAGAATTAATCTGCACCGTGAAAATTTTATATAAAACGCTATGGCTAATTGAAAACGCTGTTACCAAACAAAGCCCAAATCGGTTTCGAAATCAAGTTTCGATCGCTCTGATCAATAATGGTTAGATTCAAGTTGAATTCCACATGCTATGGAGTTAAAGATAAAAGAAATTGCAAAAGATAAAGAATTTCGGACATGTGATTTTGGAAGATGTAAAAGTTGATATTATATTGTTAGGATTAATCAAGTCTTTACATAAATATTGTTGGAATTTAGACTTATAAGCTAACAAATTTAAAAAATATTATGTGTATGATCAAATATTATCGGTTGGCTCAGCCGATCTTCCAATCAACCAGGCCCATTTTGGTTAAAATTTTGAATTTAAACAAAGTTAGTCAATTTTGGATTTTTTTTTGTATTATTTCAAATACGGAGTATATAAATCTCTAATTCCGAATCAAAGTCTAATCATGCATTTTTTTATGCTTTTCAAAACGAGTTAAGTGCACCGTTTACCCTCGTACTTTTTATAAATTGCATGTTTTACCTCTGAACTTTAAAAAATGCACCGATTACTCTCGAACTCTTTGAAAATTGCACGATTTACCCCTGCACACTAAAAAATGAACCAAATACCCTTGAACAAATTAAAACGTTGCATCGGTGGTCCTAAGCTATTTGATATGGAATGCGTTGCTTCCACGCACAATAATTCCGAATATGATTCATCTGACCCTTGTGAATTTTCCAAAGTACCTTTACCCAAAATTGTCATCTTTATTTAAATGTTCAGGAGTAAACAATACAATTTACGAAGAGTTCAGGGGTATTTGATGTAATTTTTATTGTTCAGTGGTCAATCGTGCAATTTTTGGAGAATTCAAGGGTATTTGATGCATTTTTTAATGTTCGGGGGTAAACCATGCAATTTTTAAAGAATTCAGGGGTAAACGGTGCACTTAACTCTTTTCAAAACCAAATGAATTTTCTTTTCAAGGCAGAATAGTTGTAAAATTATTTCAATTACTCAGATATTATAACTTCGTGATATTCTCGTTTGTGTTTCGTGACGGAGTTTTTGTATTCTCTTTGTCCCTAAATAAATGTCACAGTCAAACTGCGGCATCATTTGACAACAAATTATATACTCCGTACAATTTAAAATAATTAAATATTACGGAGTATAAAAATTTGGAAGATGTAGGCATTGTTGGGAATAACGTTTTCAATTAACTTTAGCATTTTGAATAAAATTTAATGGTGTAGGCTAATTCTAAAAACGTTAACACTTAAGATTAATATGTGATAAAATTTTTCATAACTAACCTCTACACTCTACAGTGATGCAAAAGAGAGCAGTAAATTCTAGTCTCAGGAGGTCAAATAATGTACTACTCCGGAGTAGTAAAAGTTTACTTACTGTAGTAAACCCGATGCTCCGCTGGCATTGAACGGACTGCAACGGTGCAAGTATGAATTCCATCCCACTCCGTTACAAACAAACATTAAACAGAACACATTTATAATAAAAAAACCGCCCAACCTATTCATGTATCTGATTCCATTATTGAAATTAATCACACATTTAAAGTTTTTAACCCAACCTAGTGGCTTTTTTATGTGTACCACACATTCCCTTAATTTTAAGGGTATCTACAAAAAGGATAAGGGCAGGTAAATTGTTAAAACAAAAGTTTGTAATAATAACCATTGCTTATAATTTGAGCAAACGAGTTGAGCAAACGAGTATTATTTTAAAATAATCACTTTAAAATAATCCATAATTCCATATAAAAACAGTTGCATTTATTTTAAATCGACCAAATAGTACCTATATTGAATCTGGTCAAGCAAATCCAACCCCTACATCAAGTGTAAGTGCATTCCTCTAAATGACACAAATATCCTTTCCTTTGTATATATCCTCAACTACCACTGTTAATTTCAAAAGTGTCCTCTATACATCTATCCACTATCAAAAAAAACGTACTTCCTTCTATTACTCTAATTATATTACTTCATTCCTTTCAAAATAATTTACATTTTACGCAAAACAAAGTAAAATTTTAAGTTTTTTCAATTCATTTATTTGATGATTGGTATATAAATAAAAAGAAAAGTACTTAAAAGTCTCAAAAAACAAGAGCTGACAAGAATATTTTATTTCATTAAATAATCAATGAAAACACACAAATAAAGAAAAGTTCTCGCAATTTTTGAATAGTAAAGTGTATAAATAATTTAGGGACAGATGTAGTATAATTTTCTATTTGCGAGGCAAAATCTTATATTTATTAAAATTTGGTACCAGAATAATTGATAGAATTTACTCCGTACATATTAAGAAACCACGTCGAAAGATCTATAAAATAAGAGGTGACAAAAATATTTTACTTTATTCAATATTTAATGAAAATACACAAAAAAAAAATAATCGAGACATATGTCCCAAAAAAATTACAATCAATTTAGGGATTTGGAGAGTATAGTCATTACTGATTATTGGAATCAAACTCAGATTTACCTTCATATGCATTTTAGAAGGTGACATATAAGAACCAAGATTAATGTGTTTAAGCCAGATATCTCGACATGTAACTTGCTTTAAGTAAGAGCAAAAAATAATAAAAATACCAAAATAGAAGTACACTCTTTTTATGGCCTAAATAAGAGTTTATACTACCACTGCCATAGTAC